CCCTTAACTGGTGCTTAACAAAACCAGTTTCACAGTCTGTCTTCAAAGCAGTGCTTGTTTTAATGTGAGCCTAGCCTGGCTCTAGAAATAACTGTATCAGAGCTACACTATGAAAAAGCAGTGCCAAATATGTACATGTTGTACCTCTCCATGTGGAATTCAAGAAGGGTGGCTCTGTTCCATCTGAGGTTTGTAAGGAATCTTGTGGCTTCAGAAAAGAATCCCTATTTAGCCAAGCTCACAACTGCTTAATCTGCAGGTCTTTCGTTGCTTACTCACTCAGTCATGTCTGATTCTTTGCAATTCCATGGACTGTAGCCTGCCAGGTTCCTCTCCATGGGATTTTCCAGGCAACAATACTGGGTTGCCATTTTCTTCTCCAAGGAATCTTCCTGACCTAGGGATTGAACCCATGTCTCCTGCATTGGCAGGTAGATTCTTTTACCCTCAGCCACGAGGGAAGCCAGTCTTTTAATTGAGGCCTCTCCAAAAGTAGAGTTGATCTTTCCCGGTAGGACTTTATCCCTCAAAGTGCTTCTGTGTTCTCATACTCCATTTAGTAGTAAAACCACATCAGTGCTTGGGAATATTGGGATGGAGTCTGATTAGAAAGTGCTACTGAGCTGATGGTGTTTTGTCAGGAGATCCAAGAATAACTCCATTCTTACCTGGTACAGTCATTCCTCTTCACAACAAAATCTCAAATATGGAAACACACACAGAAGAGAGACACCAAAGAAAATAACATCTCATTATTGGCCAGACTTGGCTGCAAACCTTGATGAAATCCTTGGGTGGCTTCTTTTTTCTCAGTTAGGTCTTACTAACCTTAAACCAAAGCAGAGTCACCTATTCTCTCACAGTCCAAGCTCAATTTGGTACTTATTTCCCCAGATGGGAGGAGAGCCCCTCACAAACCAGAAAAAAACCATGCTGAGTATGAGAATGAGTTATTTATACCTCCAGATTCCTAGCCCTAGAAAACAAGGCCCAATCTGTGCCCTGGAATATGACCCATCCAGGACTCACCGCCCGCCCCATACCCCCGCCCAGGACTGAAAAACTGGAGGGCTGAATGAGAGTAGGGAATTTAATACTGAGGTCACCGGGGAATTCAGTCCAGCCCCTGCCCAGACTTCTGTTGTCTTCTTCTCCAGTGCCGCGTGAGGAAACTGGCTCTACCATAAGAAAAATGAAACAAAATGTGATGTTCTGTGGTTCAATCTAAATTAAACATTTTAACATTGTGACGTTCAAAGTTATTGTCTTATTTTTCAGGAACTTAAAATACAGTTCTTATGTTCATGTCAGTATGTATAGTCAGTCTTCTCTTGGGTGCTAGCTTTGCTTCCGGTTTTCTTATATGGGTTCTTCTATTAAGAGTGCTGTCTGGATCTACAAATGGCCCTGAAGGGGTAGCCACAGACTGAAGAAATTGAACTGGATAACAAAAATAACTTGATCTAGTAAGAACACTTACATGAGAGATACCCTCTTTACTTTTATTATAAAAAGACACATGTGTATAGTATTTAAAAATTTAGCTCACAGTGTATCAAAGTATTACTTGCTTTATTCTGCCTTACTAAATTCAGTAGGTGTTGAATGGGCCATTTCCTTTATATTCTTAGGTTTTATAATAATATGTAAAGTTATCATTCAATTTATTCTTTCTGCTCCATATACTACATAGGTCTGGAAACAATAATTTCTTTTTAACTTTTTACCAATTTCATTTCTTTTTATGGTAAGGAGAGGTAATTAGGTCCCCTGATTTAAATTGTTCTAATTTATACTTAAATTGTAATTCTTATGCAAGCAAACTCTTACTCTTATTCATCTGTGTTAGCCAAGGACTTGAATGAGTTTTTCAAGCAGTAGAATTTGTTTTACAGCTTCACAGCAAAGTTTTAAAATATATATATTATTAAAGGATGAATTGGTACCACCACCAGCATCTCAAAGCTACTGTTTTTTCATTTTTCTGGGCCTTGTCCCCTGTGAATTCATTTTTTATTTTCCATCATTTTAATCCCTTTTAATCACCTTTCTCAGATGAGCTGGGTGTTCTGTAAAGGACTCAGTTTGGATGCTTTTCCTCATTCAGGGGTGTTTGTATACATTCTTAAAGTTCTGAAATGAATTCAGATGAATTTCCAGTTCTTTCATTCTATGTTTTATTTCTTCTGTCTTCCACATAGCCTAGAAATCTTTCCTGCACATGCCAATAATCCACGCCATTAAGCTGGCTAATGTAGGAAGGCCATGGGCATTATAAATTATGAGAAAGCTCTATAAAGAAGAGTAGTACCCGTACATGGACACAACAAAAGTTTGAATTTTGTGGTGTTCACTCTACACCAAGGGCCTTCCTGGTGGCTCAGCGGTAAAGAATCCGCCTGCCAGTGCAGGAGACGTGGATTTGATCCTGGGTCAGGAAGATCCCTTGGAGAAGGAAATGACAACCCACTCCAGTATTGTTGCCTAGAGAATCCCATGGACAGAGGAGCCTGGTGGGCTACAGTCCATGGAGTCGCAAAAGAGTTGGACATGACTGAGCGACTAAACCACAACAACTGCTCTGCACCAAGCAACGTTATATATTGTGTTCCCGTGTTACAGTAACACTGTAGGGGAGGGTATAATCTACCTGTGTCCTCAACACTAGTAACACTGAGACTATAATTCTAACTCAGATATTTCCTAAATCTTACGTTTGTCACGTCACTGTCACATTGTGCTGACTAATTCGTGATCTGGTCTTTGAAATGGACAAATAATGACCACATTTCCCGGAAAGTCCTTTAGCCTCATGGTGACCAAAAGGGACTCTGGGACACTAGTAGCCTCCCAGGAGGAGTGCTCGGAATATTCTCTGGCAAGGTCGGCTCACCAGTTTCTTGTGACTGGGATGACCTCAGTCACAACAGTCACACGTGTTTCACATCTCTCCTTCCTCAGGAGCACCCTAGTGGTACCTTACTAAGTGCTCATAAACTGTTAGTAGGGGTGATTATAAATTATGATGGGCAGTTCACACATTTGGTTAATGTAAAATTGTACACCATTCCATCTTGTCAAAACAGGTTTCCTTGGTTATAATAGGTATAGTAATCATTGACTTATAGATTGCTCTGTCGTCTTAAGATTTCTGGAACATTTGCACTGGTGATATATCTTTCTCATTTGCATCTCTTTATTTTTAGCAGTACCTCATTCAACACTGTGCTGGGCAGATTTGCTTATGAAGGAGAGGGTGATGTGTGCAATTGTATTTAGCCCCATGTGAAACCATAAGGAAAATGGAAGACTTCCCACATTCATCACTATAACATTAATCACCTAAAGACAAACTGTGAAGAAATCCAACCCTATTTTTATCCCCTATACATGTGGTTATGTGGAGGGGTGTGTGTGTGTGTGTGTGTGTGTGTGTGTGTGTGTGTGTTTTAGTTGTTCAGTTGTGTCTGACGCTTTGCAGCCCCATAGACTGTAGACCGCTAGGCTTCTCTGTCCATGGAAATCTCTAGGCAAGAATACTGGAGTGGGTTGTCATTCTCTTCTCCAGGGGATCGTCTCGATTCAGGGATCAAACCCTGGTCTCCTGTACTGAAGGCAGATTCTTTACCATCTGAGCCACCAGGGAAGCCTAAACAAGTGGATATAGAAGTCAGAATTTATTTTCTAGTTATGATTATTTTCCCCTTCCTCATCTTTATAATTTACATATCCATAAAATGTTCAGTTATCTTTGGGTAGTAGAAAGCCAAGAGCATTTACAAAATGTATTTATTCTGGAAACCTAATGTAGCAACTAAAATTGATCTTTCCATTTCCCACCCTGACCTTCCCCAAAATAAAATCTAAAAATAGGATAACAAATGAATAGCAAACAATGTCTATAAAATTTGTCAACATAATATTATTAAAATGTACACATAATTTCAAACACTCTCTGCTAGCAAACCAACAAAAAGGAAAAAAAAAAAAACCACAAAACCTGCTAAAATTAGTAAAAGAAAACATATCAACAAAAGTCATCTTTGTTGATAAGTATCTCCAGTATAAGTGTACATTCTCTAATACATCCCTTGAGGTCCATCAGAAGGAATTGATTTCATCATGGAGGCTACTGGTTGACCTTTATTGCTTTGCTTATGTTGTTCTGTTTTAATTTTCTTACCAAATTATTCTGGAGAAGGAAATGGCAACCAACTCCAGTATTGCCTGGAGAATCCCATGGACAGAGGAGCCTGGAGGGCTAGAGTTCACAGGGTTGTAAAGAGTTGGACATGACTGAAGTGACTTAGCACACACATACCAAGTTATTCATAGCCTTAAAACTTAATTTTTCTAAATTCAGTACTCAGTTTCAGTCTGTTACTAATGGCATCTGCTTCTAACTTTATGAAATATGATGATCACAGTGACTATTAGGTGTTTGGTTTTTGTTTTTTTTTAACAAAACCACATGTAAGAATTTTTCATCTCATTTTCTTTCTTTTCTCTCTTAAATTTCCATTGTTTGTTTCTCATCTTCTCACCTTCTCTAACCCTTTTCATAAATTTGTATGAACTAAGAATTTTAAATCCTAAAAATTTTATCTCCTTACTTAAGTGCCATCTAAGGGTAAACTTTAAGAGAAATATTTGTTCTAAAGTAATTTACTAGGTGGGATGAAAAAATAGACTTGAAAAACATGAAGTTTCTTTCGTATCCAAACTATGTAACAGTTTATTACAATATTTATAACTGTTATTAGGCTCATAATAGAAGACCTTTCTTCTGTTTCTATACTACTGACAATTACATTGCACTACCTACCTACTACAATGGTCTGTCCTAACTACTGTACATTGATTCATTTTATATAGAACTAAAACTACAGAAAGAAAATCATATATAAATGAAAAAATGAAAGGATAAATTCTATTCAACTTGAATACATCCCCCCATTCAGACTTTTTTAGTAATATGTATATTTCTACATTTTCCTTAGTTCCTGAAATTAATGGAAAAAACAAACCATTGATCACTTACGTGGGGGATTCAGTTGTCTTGATGTGTAAATGTCAAGATTGTCTTCCTTTAAATTGGACCTGGTACGGTGTCAATGGGAGTGTACAGGTAAGATAATATTTCTTTGGCTTACAAAATAAACACACTTATTTGATAAGTAATAAGATTGTATTATACTCAAAGTTCTTAGGACTATTTCTACTTCTCTTTTCTTCTTCTTAAATACATGATTATGGAGAAAGAGCAGTGATGAATGGAGTTGTTTCATGTTTATAGCACTTTACATTATACATCTGAAGATACTCCCAATGTTTCATTAGCTGGTACTTTGTTTTTACATTTAGCAATTTATTTTAATTCACTGAAAGTTACAATTCATTTTTAGTTGATAAGCTTAAGTATAACCCCAACAGAAATGATTCTTTTTTTCCTTATCATTTCATGAAAATAACTTGGAAAAAAAAAGATGTTATCTTTTCCTTCTGTCTCTGGAAACATCTGTGATAGAATGCAATATAGTGGCACTATTTAAGGAAAGAATGAAAATTAGGTAACTTAAACTTAGGTTTTGGGTTCTTTTAGAGTCATTGACCTCTTTTAGGCCTCCAGGTACCTAAGGGAAGCCAGATACTTTAAATTCCTACTAAAAAATGAATGACTTTTCAAAGACCTGATATTAAGAAAAACATGCTGCTGCTAAGTGCTCAGTCCTGTCTGACTCTCTGCAACCTCATGGACTGTAGCCTGCCAGATTCCTCTGTCCATGGGGATTCTCCAGGCAAAAATACTAGAGTAGGTTGCCATGACCTCCTCCAAGGGGTCTTCCCAACCCAGGGACTGAATCCAGGTCTCCTGCATTGCAGGCATATTCTTTACTGTCTGAACACCAGGGAAGCCCAAGAATACTGGAGTGGGTAGCTTATCCCTTCTCCAGGGGTACTTCTGGACCTAGGAATTGAACCGGGATCTCCTGCATTGCAGGTAGATTCTTTACCAGCTAAGCTACCAGGGAAGCCTGCATATGTCATACTAGACAAAAAAATAGACAAATCTAATTATATTGAACTTTCAGAATACAGTCTGTGCTTCTTTCCATCTTACTAAGTGTCTCTCAATTTAGCCCCAAGCATGGATCATATTAGGATATAAGAAAAGTGCAGCGAAGAGAGTACAAGTCAAAACTTTAGGTCAAGTGTTTTTTTAAAATGTGCATGAACCATCTGCATCAGACTCAACCTGTGGTGCCTACTAAACATGCAGTGCTTTGATTTATCAGCCCTGAGGTAGGGAGTACCTTTGTAAAAAGATCACAGGCAATGCTGTGCACAGAGAGCCAGGTTGATATAATTTTTGGCCAATATTAAAATCACAGTTCTTCATCACATAATCTCCAAGAATACTTGCATTCAGATTAAAATTTATTGATCACTGCAGTTGAATGATAGAGCAGTGAAGGCAGCAAATGGCCTAAGAATAAAAGTTAATTTAAATAGATTAAATAAATCAGCCGCCAAATAGCTTGGTATGGATCTTAAAAGACTGAAGAAAACCCAGTGAATTCCACAAACCGAATTGACTGAAAAACAGAGAAATTGAGCTTTAAAAAGACAGAAAGTGTACAAACCACCTTGTTTACCAGACTCACAGGAAGGTCTACTAGTCCTTCTACATCAGCTTCAAAGGCCTGAAGATTTCCTTTCCAGTCTGAGGAACTCCCAGTGTCAAGAACCAGGAAGCTTCCTTAATAGGAATGATCAATTTAATAGCTTTATTAACTTAATAGTTGATTTAATGAATGTATACCTGCACTTGTGAAGGAGGAAGTACCTTGAACAACTAGTCAGGGATTCTAACATGAAGCCTGGAAGACTGGAATTTTCCTGTATGTCTACTTAAATAGAATATTTAACCACGATGACTTGCATGCTGTCCTTTTAAACACTCAGTGCTAAGCACTTAAAGAAAAGTATCCTTTTCCTTTGTTTTCTACCTCTGAAAGGTCAAACTCTGATAAGAATTGAGCTATGTTATGTAGCAGTTCAGTTCAGTAGAGCTGCTCAGTCGTGTCTGATTCTTTGCGACGCTATGGACTATAGCACCCCAGGCACCCCTGTCCATCACCAACTCCCAGAGCTTACATAAGCTCATGCCCATTAAGTCAGTGGTGGCATTCAACCATCTCATCCTCTGTTGTCCCCTTCTCCTTCTGCCTTTAATCTTTCCCCAGTGTCAGGGTCTTATCAGTTGAGTCGGTTTTTCACATCAGGTGGCCAAAGTATTGGGGTTTCAGCTTAAGCATCAGTCCTTCCAATGAACACCCAGGACTGATCTCCTTTAGGATGGACTGGTTGGATCTCCTTGCTGTCCAAGGGGCTCTCAAGAGTCTTCTCTAACACCACAGTTCAAAAGCATCAATTCTCCTGCACTCAGCTTTCTTTATAGTCCAACTCACACATCCATACACGACTACTGGAAAAACCATAGCTTTGACTAGATGGACCATTGTTGGCAAAGTAATGTCTCTGCTTTTTAATATGCTGTCTAGGTTATTCATAGCTTTTATTCCAAGGAGCAAGTGTCTTTTAATTTCATGGCTGCAGTCAGCATTGGAGGTGATTTTGGAGACCCCCGAAATAAGGTCTCTCCCTGTTTCCATTGTTTCCCCATTTATTTGCCATGAAGTGATGGGACTGGATGCCATGATCTTAGTTTTCTGAATGTTGAGTTTTAAGCCAACTTTTTCACTCTCCTCTTTCACTTTCATCAAGAGGCTCTTTAGTTC